AAATATATAGTTAAAAGATTGTGAAACACATGAAATAGGCAATTAAAATTAATTGTTGACTTTAATTTGAAAATTTATCAAGATTTTATTTCAAACCAAACAGGCACTACACAAAAATCATGGAATTAGTCGTGTCTTAAAGATGGATACTCTATTGTGTCATCTAAGAGGAAACATATATTTTTTTTTTCATAAAAGTTAGATTCAAATTGAACTAGTGGATATTATTTAGTATTTATTTATTTATTTTTGGGAAAATTGCATTAGCAATTCTAAACCTTTTCAATTTTTGTGAACTTCACCCTAACTTTCATTTTATACTTGCAAAGGCTCCTAACCTTTCATAAATATGCATCTAAGATCCAAATGAATAATTTTCATTCATTTAATTGTTAGTTGACTAGAATAGTCAAAATTTGATCAATATAGACCAAATTAAAAAGGGTATAATGGTACTTTGTATTTTCCTAACTATAAAAAATAAAAATAATTAAAATAAAAACAAAAGAAAAGTAAAAACCCTACCCCCAAACCCATCCTCACCATCATCTCCTTTATCTCTTCGTTGGAAAACACCAAGACAATGCCACCACAACCAGCCACCTCCCACAACCTCCACCATCACTTTACTAAGTGTAATCAATCACCTCGTAACTAATTACAAATGATTATTCACTATCTGAAAATCAATTCTTCACCTTCTCGACCCTTTTCCCCTTTCATCTTTCTCTCTCAATCTCACTGTTCAAGAAACCCATTTCATTTTTAGTAACCAACTTCAAAAATTCTTTTTTTAAAAACCTATTTTCGCTTAAACAATCCTTTTTTTGAACCCATTTTAATCTAGATTCAGCATCTTGCTGGATTGATTCTTGAGCCCTCGTCGTAGGTGGCAAATCCAGAGGCTTATGCGTAATGGGAAGCTGACACTGTTTTGTCTTTTGCTTACCGTAGTCATTTTGTGAGGAAATTTGGGGGCTGGAAAATATCGTACGCTTGAGAATGAGATTCAAGAAACATTTTCATATATTTGTAGGCGGGCCGAGCCACACTGTGTGCTGGAAGAGGCAACGACTACTCAAGACAGCGAAAATATAGTTCATCGACTAATGTTTCGAAAAATGGTGGTAATATTTATTCAGAATTTGAAGGATGAAGATGATGGAACCAAAGAATTTAAACTATTTTTTGGTATGGGTTTGTAGAGTGGGATGAGGAGGTGGTGGTGGTGTCAAGATTTGATGGTTTATCCGACATTATGTGGGTGATGGCGACGACAATGCCGGTGGTTGTTTGTACTTTTTTTGGTTTGGGGTAGGATACAGTGGGTGGGTGGTTTGGTGTAGGGGGTTGGGGTAGATTTATTTCATTTTTGGTTTTTTTTAATTTAATTTTTTATGTAAGAAAAATGTAAATTTACCATTTTGTCCTTTTATAACTAGTCAAAATTGGAGTCAAAGTCAATTATTTGATCAACTGACGGTCAAATGGACGAAAATCATCCATTTGGACCTTAGATGCATATTTATGAAAGGTTAGGGACTTTCGCTAGTCCAAAATGAACGTTAAGGTAAAGTCTGCAAAAATTGAAAAAGTTTGAAACTGTTGCTGCAATTTTTCCTCTATTTTTTTGCTTGGTTTTTGTCCGTGTGAGATTTTCATATTTATAGCTGACACAACCTGAATCAATTTTTCATACTTTTTGTTGATTGCGTAATGCCTTCACACCAAAAGATTTCTGCATTTGGGCCAAAAGAAAGTGCAATCTTCCGTAATATGTATTTTCCAAGTAGTTTTTAAATTCGGCTTCAAATGTTTTACTTCATAAAGAAGAGTTATAAGACTTTTAAATATTTCAGTGGAGTGTGATTTGAATCTTGATCTTTGTTTTGAATTATGCTGTTTAGCACATGATGTGGTAAAATTTGAGATTCCATTTTAAAAGATCAACCTTCTTACGCAAAGTAGCATAAGACCTTATAAGTTGGTCTATATGTTCATCTTTGTTCGATGTAGGGTTATATCCCTTAACATGTTCAAAACTAATCTTAAAATCTGTATGCTCAATTTTTAATGTTTGTTGGAGCTTAATAGACTCTGATACTATATTAAGATTTGAAATTTCATCTTAAAAGGTCAACCTTGTTAAGAGGATTAGCCTAAAACCTTATAAATTGATTTATGTTTTCATCTTTATTTAATGTGAGATTATATCCATTAACATTGTGAACATATTGGATATTTCGCACCAGTGCCCTCTCCACCTCCCGCTCTCAGGCGATTGTAGGGCAAGGGAGAAATGGTAGAGAAGACGATCGCTTTTCTTCATTTCTTGTTTCATTTCATTTTCGAATCTCTGATTTGCCACTCCAAAGTTGTGCCATGAGCAAAACAATGCAACTTTTTTAACCATTTTTTTAGCTAAAATAAAAATGAAAAGTTGTGGGATCCAACTCCAAGTGTTCATATATGCAAAGATTGGAGACCTTTGGTGCTGTTTTCCCTTTTGATTAAGTACTGGTGACTGTTGAATCCGGGCTATATTAGTACACTTCAACAGAAAACCTCGGAATTCTATCTAATCACTACATCGACAGAGACGGTTAATTGCTAGGAGGAAACTGTATGGTTGTTCTGTCCCATGGACATAAACTTGCAGTAGACATTAGCCAGAACGAGTTAAGATTTAAGAATTGTGAGTTCTGACCATCTTATCTACTGGCTTGAATGACCATGTTAAATAAGATTAATATAAGAATATTTTGTAAAGAATAACTCAAGATTTAATTGTTGTGTTTAATTTTCTCAAGTATAGACAGAGCGAAATGGGAAGAATGGATTCATGTGACGATCATAAATTGTACATTGACTTGCAATGTCTTCTCTGATGCCTGAAGTTGTTGAAACTGGAGCAGCAAATTTTTATCATCCTGGGAATTTTTCGCAATGGAACTATCTATCTCCTTAAAGTCAAATTTTAGATATGAAAGGTCCTCTATTTTGATTTCTGTTGTTCTATGGTTTCCTCGACTTCTTGAAGAAGAGAAACAAGCTCGATATTTGATTCTTGACTTCTTTTCTGTTGTTGGGCTAGATTAGCATTTGATTCTTGCTGATTTTCTCTCATTCTCCAGGTTCTTTTGAATCTGATCAAGGCTTTCAGGTTTAGTCATCGAATGTTTTTAAGTTCTAGTGTAGCCTATTTCATTGTAGATTCCTTGAACAACAGTTTCACATTCTGCATATGATGCCGAGAGCCTAATTTCTAATTCTGCCTGCTTTTTTGACAGAGAGCGAATTCATTTCTAGACAGATCCAAATCAAGCATTAGCTTCCGGGGATTTCTCTCCGACATTTTATCTTCTGCACGTAGAACCTCAACAGTGTCTTCTGCAACAATGCAAGCGACTTGTTTCCTGCAAAGAGATGAAGATTTATTGCCAGTTACATGGTAGTAAAAATGAATATTGAGTTGATTGAGGATTAGGCAAAAGCCTGTTTCTGATTTTCACAAAACATTGATATAATGAGAAAATCCATGTATTGAAGGATGTTTAAATGACAATAGATAAGACCCACCGTAAAGAAATAATTTTGTTTGCCAAAGTTCTTGATTTCTCATGCAAAGAGAGTGCCAAAAACAGAGAGGAACATTGGGCGATTAAATGACAAATGTCCATAAGATGGTAGTGATTGAAGGTTTAAGGAGTGTCATAATAGATCGGATAAGATAAAAAAAGAGATATATATCAAAAGGTTGAGGTTAAATTAAGTAAATGTCGACAAAGGTTGTTTGGATAAAGAGGTTCTAATTCATAAGAGTAATGCAATCTAAATAAATCCGGTTAAAATAAAGCAATGTAGTTATTGTAGTTTTTAAGGCGCTGCTTTGAATCTTCTAGTAAATATACCAACATAAATGTGCAACTGACCCCAATTATCAGAATTTAGGCTTAGTTGTTACTAAATCTAATATTCCTTAATATTCAAGGGTTATAAGGTTTGTTTGATAAAACTTTGCTAAAATGTTATCAACTTTTCAACTGATTAAACTTTAATTTTTAATCACATAATTTACGAAACTCACAACTTTTATCACCTTTAATTGTATATATTGCATAAAACGTGAAATTAAAGTAGAGCAATCGTTTCAAATGCTAAAGGTAAAAGTTTTTGATGACTGAACTCCAAATCCATCTCAATCTCATCTCAAAAGATTTAAGTGTAGCACTGTAATAGCACAATTTAAGGTCAGACCAAGAGCTTTTCCATTTAGTTCAACCACACTCCGTTATCATCTTAAAATATCATTATTACTCTCTAGAAAGGTGTTATACTGTTAACGAACTACCTTCCATATGAACAATCCTGAGTGGACAAGTGTCATCTCTGACATTCGCATCTCCAACTACACCAATCAGAAAAAAGTAATGATTGTCTAAGCACCAAATAGTTACGACCTAGGCAATAGCTACGCCATGACCTCAATTGTTGACCAAGGATGGTCAGCTCTTGTACATGAGGCTTATAAATAGAGATGTTGGTCCCCACCAAAGGACGAACTACACCAACTCACTACATCGTTCTCTCAAAAAATAATTCCTGTAAAAATCTTATTTAGTGCAAGGAAAATTTTATTGCACATAATGATGTTCATAATGTGATGTGACAATTATCTGATTGCTGATGTGCAAGAGTGACATTTGAATTAAAAGTTAAATCTAGTACCACGTGTAATTATGGATACCATGCCATGTCATTTGTAATCAACAAAAGTCACTAGTTGAATTACTCATGTTTTGCTTTGAATAAAAAAGTTTAAAATACATAATAATGTGTTACAAAAAATGAAAAGAAGAGTATTAACGAGGCATTGAGATTGTTGCAACAGCTTGGCTGCGACCAATGTTATGAGTACACTACTACGTTGTACCCAAAAGTCGTCAATGACAATTTACAATTAAACCGTATACCTTAGAAAAGAAATATAAAATCACATATTCTTCTAAATAATAGAATAAAAAAAATCAAATAATAGAAACAATGAGATCAATAAATAGTTTTACACATAAAGTACATAGGAATACAGATATAGATTATTGAGGAAGCATAAACTTGCTATGGAAACCAACATTTTCTTCATGTTTACAAAATTCTATTCTTTTAAACATAACTTGCAGTCACCTCACCCTCAAAAACCCGTTGGTGACCTGATGAAACAGAATGACAAGAAGGCAAAAAAGATTTACACGCGATGGGTTTTAGAATCGTGCATCCTCAACAATTTTCAGGGTTAGAAAAGCTTATGAATGAAGTACAAAACTCACCTGATAGAATTCGCTCCAGCTAAGGTGGATGTAGTTTGCCTTTCAGTCACTTTCATGTATAAGCCCTGCCATAAAACAATAGCGTCTTACTTAATGCATCGAATGATGCATAAATGTGCCAGCAAGTCTTAAAACCAATGTGCTATGGCAAAATACAAGAGAGAAGATTTGAGCCATGAAATGAATGAGATTTATTTAGATTTGAGTCTCCCATTTTTGTCAAGCTTCCACTGGAATAGCACTGTGGTCTGAATAACAGATTAAAGTTGTATATTTGTATACAATCACCATTTCCAGGTGGCATACATGCTGAGTTAAAGTAATCACTAGCTTATGAGGCAAAGATTTGCAAGTAAAATCCATTCTTGATTTTAAATAGATAATGAAATTGAAAATATACATTGGCAGAATTATGGGAAGTAATTTATTCAATGAAACAGATGGAAAAGATATATGATATAAAGAGAAGTATTAGAAATAAATAGCCTGTTCCCATCCCCATCAATGTCTAGCTAATGGTTGTTCAGAGGGAGAGCATGTAAAAAGTGATAGAGCATAAATGAGAAAAGTATCACGAGTTAAGAAAATTACATTTGTTGTATGAATAGTGGCACCAGTGGTCATGCCAATATTTTGATTTGGGATCAACTCAAAATCAAGGTTTTGCACGAAAACTGCAAGGGAAACAATTGCTTCTAGCAAAGCAAACTGATCACCAACACATTTACGCGGTCCTCCACTGAATGGAATAAATCTGCAACATTACACTTGTTGAATTATATTCCACGGCAATTGGAAAAGGACCTATGAATTATTAAATATATACCTATAGTCAGTATTTGTTTCATTGGGAACTGGCCCTTCTAAGTCATATCTTTCCGGCATAAATTCCTCTGCTCTATTCCAAACCTTTATAAAGCACAGCGAACACAACATAATCAAATGATCGATGATGAAATGTTCTCAAAGAGGTAAAACTATCTAGCAAGTACATGACAATTCCAATTAATTAACTTAATGGAAGATCTGAAGGTTGCACTCTATCCCAATAAAGCAACAAATATTAAACAGGAATTGCAGTATCTAAAGCTGACAATCTTGATTGTTGTCTAAATTGAAATCCAAAGCAGCATTACTCTAAAAGTCCCATCCTAAAATGCAATTTGAGTTTATGGGTAAGAAGCTAAAGTTTTGAGGAAGAGATCATATGCAGCCTTAAATATAATTTGTGAACAGAAGACTATTGAAGGCCTCCATCCTCAGATGGTTCCTGAAAAGAAGAAATACGATCAGCAGAACTAAAAGAGCACAAGCTGAGTTTTTAGATAGTGTGTCTAGAACATCCAATCTCAGACGCAAGAAATAAATTAGTTTTACAAAATCAACCAGCTGTGTTTTTCTAGGCTTCTACTTACAACTGTTTTGCTAAGCTTTAAAGTTACTTAAACTTATCTTAGTAACTTTTATTTTCAAACATGTTTGAATAAGTAACTTTTTTCTGTTGCAAGTAAAGGAAGTTACTTATTCGACAGTAAGATAGGAGTTACTTTCAAACTAAGTAACTTATTTCTAACTTTGACCAATAAAAAATTGTTTATTTTAAAACTTAATTCATATAAATATACTTGGACTTCATTTTATTAATGGCATACAGATGCATCATTGTTGTCAGGCGGGTGCCAACATTGTAGATCAAGGTGATACCTGTGCCGAGCGATGAATATTGTATACTGAAATCATGATATCTTGACCAGCATTGACCTTGTAGTTCCCAGGTAACATGTCAGTCACTTGAGCTCTTCTTAACAAGACCTAATGAAATTCCAGGAAAACAATCATCAGGAAAAAGAAGTACAACATTCAGTCAAATGGAGAAGGAAAATTTGCAGATTACAGGCGGATGTGGATATAGACGCATTGATTCAATTATGCAATGCGTTAAGAACTTGAGATTCTTTATGTCCTCGTATGTAGGTAGCCGTCCCTGTAAAACTCTATCAACTTCTTCTTGCACTTTTCTCAAAGCAGATGGATCCTGAATTAGAAAAATGTAAATTATGCAGGAAAGAAAGACAGGTTAATCATGATAGAGTACAAAATTTATACGGCAATCAAAGTGATGTGCATTTATTTGGTTGAAGGTTTTCTTTTTTTTGGTTGATGCTAAATTTTACAGCAGGCTACACAGCACATTTCTATCAATATAAAAACTAAAAGATAATACATTTTCAATAGTAAAGTAAACATTATAAATACAATAAAGAGACAGATTCTACATAGCTTATGCATAGCTGAGATCAAGGCAAGTAATACAAACATTTTTACAAGATGTCCCATTTGGCTTGACAGTGATACGAAATAATGCATTTGAGGGATTACTAAACATCGTAGCACACAATGCATTCAAGAAGTTTTATATGCCATTTCTTACAGACACTATATTAGAATTCAGAGAATTATTGTTAGCTAAAAATTCATTTTATGAAGAATTCTATGTTCAAGAATAGTATATGGCGGATAGACTTCACAAACCATTTCCTGTTTCTGAAATTTGTATACAGACATCTACTTTATGCATCTTTCCATTAGATTCTCATTATCTCAAGTCAGTTCAAGATAATAACTTATTTGAGCATGCAAATAATGGCACCAATTGAAAGTTCTCATTTTTTTTTTTGTTAAGTCTGGATTGAGCTGTTGAGTTTTAATACTGTTATGGTATTTAAATGCAAAGGTGTCCACGGAATGGGAAACACAATATGCTCCCTCACAATCCCATTTTCTGAAAAGTCAAGTTTAATCTTTTGGGACAGCATTCAGACAAGCAAAAATACAATGAATTTATGGAAAGAAAAAAAGTATAGAATAAGAATGATACCTTACTTAGCAGATATGACGTCCAAGTCAATACTGAACCAGTGGTTTCATGACCAGCAACTAACATTGACAAAAGATCATCTCTTAGCTGTGCACTTGAGACCTAAAACAAACATACTAATCATGTTCAATATGCAAGAAATCAATACACCAATAGAATGGTAAAGTATGCTTTCCAGAGAAAACAAGTAATCAAAGATCAGTTATCTTAAGAGTGGAAATTAGTTCCTAGAAGAATTTAAAACTTTATACAATTATCTTTATACAGAGACAAAGATACAACATATTGCAAAATAACGCAATTTAATATTCTTACGAACCTCCTCTCTGCTAGCAAGCAAGAACCGGAGAATGCTGGGGTCTGTGTCATTCACATACTCCTCCTCGTTGATCCTTTCACCCTCATTTTCCACAATCTCTCTGCACTTTGATATGAGTTCTTCAACAGTTTGTCTGATCAAGAAAACGGCCTTTTCAGCTTTAATCTGTCTTGGTACTACTTTACATAAAGCTTCGATCTGTAAAAGGAATAGTCGATGACGACAATTATTATGATATGAAAAGAAACCTAATGGTGTCAAACAAAAACGTGCCTTCCAGTATGGCAATAAATCAGTTGAGCGCATCTCTGCTTCTTTTAATGCAGTGTAAACTGCATCAATAACTGGATTATTGGTGGTAAGAGAATCAAAGTTGTAGTTGAATATAGCTAGACCAATGACATCAAGCGTAAGTTGAGAAAACTTTTCCTCCATGTTCACAGAAGAGCCATTAAGTACATCTGACTTGAGCTTCTCCACTAACCTCTGAGCACATCTGCAAAAGACCCGCTCGACTATTATCGACAAGTACTTTTTGTGAAGTGATGGAACCACGGCCCTGCGCCTTACCTATAGTGACGTAAAAATTAAGCAACAAGGTTTTGTCATGAACAGTAATACTATTTGAGTATCGAAACATGCATCATAAACAACAAATCAATTCATAATGCCAATTTTGCAAGAATACCTCTATATATGCCTATGATTTATGGTTTGTATTGAATACTAATAGCAAAATGCATTATGATAAAAATCTTCAACAAAATAAAGAGAGATTTGGACAAGTGTCAAAATTAATTAAAACGCAATTATCAGATAAGACAGCTGTGAGCAAATTTCCTCGAGTATAAAATCTGCCAAAGGGAATTTACCTGACCTCGTTATGACCATGGAACTTCCTTGATAAGCAACTTCAATACATAATATGGTAATACAGAATGTTACCCCTCCATATGCAACTTTAAAATATTCAAAAACAGATCAAATTCACCATCAAATATAAATGAAAATACAAGTTCCAAGTTCCAGTTGTCCAATTATCCGAACAAATAAATAAAATAATTAATTCTTTAAGAAAAAAAGAAAAAAAAAAGATACGAGACTTTTGCAGACTTACAATCTATTTATCCTATAAACCAATATATAACCTAAATCCTACATATGTATGCATGAATTAAGTCCAATCCAACAGTCCAAATTATTAATAAGAACCACGAAATTTCATCAAGAAACCAAAAAAAGTTGGGATCTTTTTCCAATACCGTCCATAAGGATCCTTCAGCAATGGCAAATCCAGAGCCAAACAAGAACTCGGAGACCTCTGCCACCAGCCCTTTAGCATATTTAGTCCCATAGTTTCTCAATACATGCTTCGCAATGGCAGGGTCGCTGACAATCACAAAATTCCGGGGCCCAGCAGACAAACGATAAATAGGCCCATACTCATTCATCCACTTGAACAATGGGAGGAAGAGCGCCCCACCTAAGAGGTCCGAAACATCCTCCAGCTTCGCACTGGCAATTGGTATGTTAGAGTCATCTTTGGGGCCAAATGTAGTAAAAGACTTTGTTAATGAGGTCAGCCAGTCCGGGCTAACCCATGAGGTGGTCTTGGTGGGCTGTGGCGGTGGTGGTTTATTGTTTGTGGAGTTCTTGATGGAGAGAGGAGCGGCGTGAAATGGGGTTTTGCGATGGACAGCGGTGGATAGGTGGTGGTGGTGGTGACGATGGCGACAGCGAGGTTCTGAGAGGAGAGAGAAAGAGGAGAGAGAGATTGACGATGGCATGGCGGTAGAATGGTGAGGTTTCAGTGGGCTCTTGTTTTCCTGGTTACAACCACCATGTCCATACAGTTGGGCGCCTTTGCTTAAGGATCGTGATTCTTGTTTGGCTAGTTGTACATATTAGTACAAATAAATTTTATCTGTAGTCCCTGAACTTTCAGTCAAATTTCAATTGGATCACAAAATTCAACTTATCTTAATTGAGTCATTGAATTTAAATTTCATTAAAGACAAAGTAGTTGGACCTTAACTAATCTTTTTAATTAGTTTATGTTTAAGCGTGTCAATTTACCAATACATCACCTCAAAAAAGAGTTAAAATGAAGAGAAACAAAAAAACCTTACTTTTTTTTACCTTTGAATATAAAGATATTATTGTAGTCCTCGTTTCATCATAACTGTCAGCCAAGCAATTCACATCAATTTTGAGAACACGTGACAAAACATAACACTTACGAAATTTGAAACAAAATCGAAGTTCAATGACTTACATTCAATAAATTTTCAATGCCAGTGCATTTTTAATCATACATACTAGAAATTATTTTTCAAAATTAGACGAACGATATTCAATTTCACTCAAACTAAGTCCAATCTAATTGTCCATGAAGCGCATGTTTATCTTCCACTCTTTCAAAATTCTTTTTTCTACATAATCATTTTCAATTACACACACATAATAAAATATTTCGTACGTAAATTCAATTTTTTTTCTAAATTTTAACAACACATTCTTCAAATATTAACTATTCAAAATAATGTTGTTCCAAAAAATGCCTACCAAATAGGGTCTAAAAATCTTAAAATGATTGAATATCTTAAATGAATAGATATAGATCATATTTAAAATATCCAGAAGCTAGATTGTTGCTTAACATCAAATGAGGTTGAATAACATTATTTTTAAAATTACCTCTAACATAGTAAATTATTTATTTTATATTTTTTTGAACATAGTAAGTACTTTTAAAATATGTAAATGCATTAAATATTAGTACGACCATTTTTTTTCCTTTCTATCAGCAAAAATCTTCACATGAATGGGTAAATATATTTTTCTATAATTTTGAAGATAAATATGCAAATATCATGTCCTGAGGAGTGCGGTTTAGAGGTTTTAAAATTGAAAAAATGCTTGTTGTATATCACTATTAATAGAATTTTTATAAATTGACGAGCTGACGATAAATTAAATTAAAACTGACAAAATATCTTCACAACTTAAGCGGTTGCACCTATATAATATGGGTTGATGACAAAAAAAAAAAAAAAAAAAAGAGAGGGGGAATAGGATTTTTTTTTTTTTTTTTTAATGAGATTTTGACTGAATTAAACTTCGTCACATCGTTTGATGATAAACAAATTTATAAGCCGTGATGTACATATAGAACTATCATTAAAATCTTCAGCCAATAATGATGCTTCCTGCTGGCTTATTGTCCATTACGGGTTGGCCCATTGTGTACTCTGGCAGCAATAAAATCCAGTCCAGATTGGATTTTAGCCCATGGACTATGTGAGATTTGGTAGAAACATTAGGTAATTGGCCCAAAAAGCACTAAGCCCTTTGTTAAATGGATCTATAATTTATTTTTTTATTTTTTAATCACATATTCTTTATTATTATTTTTTCTTTTTTATAAATAACTTCTCAAAAAATCAACATCACACATGGGCTAAAATTTGATGTCTAATAATTTGTGCCATTTGACTTTACTTTAACACCTCATTCTCAAGTGTGGACATATATATGAAAATATTATTTTTATTACTATTTACATTATATAAAAATAATTAATCTCGATTAAGAATTATTTCTTTAAATACAAATAACAACACTTGATTGTAGTTGAGACAATATACTTTGAGGCTATAAAAATATAAAGCACCTAGAGACCAATATATTTTGATTTCTCGAGATATACATGTAGAGTGGTGAAAACAAGTCATAATTTGGACAATTCCAATAGTATGATAAGCATTATATATCATTGGCTGCCAGTTGAGAATATGTATTTGACTTCGATAAACTAAAACTTGTTAGTTAATTCTATTAGAGATTGAGCGCCTATTTAAACAGAGTCAATAATGTTGAGACTTGGTCCATTGGTTGCTATGTTGATAAAATCAAAGTAAAACTATTTAAAAATAAAATGAGACTTACAGATCAATTGAGAGCATTATTTTGCTTGACTCGAGTATGCTCCTTAATCCTCACCTAGCAATCTAAAATGTAATGGTTCTTAGCCATTAAGGATCTCAAAATGGTTCTCTATTGAGCAAGCCATCATCGTGCCACCTCATAACGGTTCATCTTGGGGTCTAACATCTCACCACAAGGAGTACTACTCCATCATGTCTATTGTATTTTGAACACAACAGAAGTTATGACTTAATACCCTTGAGCACATATTCTGACCACAATAGGAGCCCTATTCAGGTATACAATTACAAATGTGCTACAAGTACACCATTTTTGATAGCTTTCTTGACAGTCCGTTCACATGTAGGAGTAGGGCCTGAAAACATGTGTTATATTTAATTCTTTTAGCATAATATGTAATTTCCTTTTTTAAGTTTCCTTGTAGTAGTATAAAAACCATATTTACTTTCATTGTAAACCCTAATTCTTATTGCTCAATAAATTTTGGTTTTCTCTCTTTCTTCTTCTTCTTCTTCTTCTTCTCTTCTTTTTGATTGATTCAACATATTGGTTTAAGATGGATTATATTGTTATCATGGTATCAGAGTCTATAATTGAGTGAAATTTGTGAAATTTCTGATTGCGGCGTGCTGAAATCAAGGCAGAAATCAAGCAAAGAAAGTTTGAGCGAAAAACCTATTCGAACGCAACTTAAAATCAAGATTCCAACCAAACTAGAGACCCATTGAGGAAACTGAGACTAGATTCTTGTTCATCAAGTTGAGACGAAACTTCCGGTTAGGCGCGTGGCGGAGTTAGGCGGCGCGTGAGGACCACGTGCAGTGACATTTTTTCGGGGTGATTCCAAAAGGCAGTTTGTTCCTTGGTAAATTTCTGATCTTTTGGTGGTATTACTTTGGTTATATGTATACTGTGCAGTATATTTCAATTATAGTTTGTGGTAGTACGTTGGTTATCATTGGTTTCCTTAAAAATTGGGTAATTTCGTTGATTTATAGTTGATCATTTATTGATTTTATGATGGCAACCGAAAAAGATGATTCACTTCAATCCATTAGTGTCAGACTAAATGGTTAAAATTACTCGTATTGGAGTACAGTGATGAGAAATTTTTTAAAGGAAAAAAGATTGTAGGGCTATGTTAGCGGAACTATTGTGAAATTCGAGAACACTGCTCATAATTATGTAACAGAGTTAGATAACTGGGAGTCAAACAAAGCGAAAATTCTTACTTGGATTCACAACTCCGTTGAGCAATCCATTGGTACACAATCAACAAAGTTTGAAACAACAAAAGAAGTTTGGGAGCATTTTCAAACGTGATACACTAAATCTAATTTTGCAAAATGGTATCAGTTGGAAATTGATATACGTGCTTTACATCAGAAAGATATGAGTATTCTTGGGTTCTACGCTGCTATGAACTCCATCTGGGATGAGCTGGCTCTTACGGAATCAGTAGGACTGAAAGCATGTGAGGAATATATTACTTTTAGAGAGGAGCAGCGATTAGTTCAGTTTTTTATGGCACTTCGCAGTGATTTTGAGGGATTCAGAGGCTCTATTTTGCATTGCACTCCATTTCCTTCAGTTGATTTGGTGGTTAGTGAACTTGTAGCTGAGGAAATACGTTTGAAATTTCTTACGGGAGAAGTATCTCTTCCTCCATCAGCACCTCAGTGTTGGCTGTACCTCCTCGGCTGTCCACACAGAACCAGAATAAAGGTTATGTGCAAGTTGCTCCTGATGAGTGTAATTTTTGTAAACAAAAAGGACATTGGAAGTCTCAATGTCCAAAGCTATTGAAGAAGCAGCAACCTGAATCACAGCAGCGATCTTATCATCCCAATGCTAACATAGTTGCCACCATGCCACCTAATGATTCATCCATACTTGGAACACCACCTTCATCCAATCCCATGTTGACGGACTTAGCAGAGCAGTTTCAGAAGTTCTTAGCCACACAACCACATGCTATTTCAGCCTCCACTCATATAGGTTTGTCATCACAAAGTCACTCAAGTATTTCTTCCTCATGGATCTTTGACTCAGGTGCTTCCAAACACATGTCGTCTAATTCAAAATTCTTTAATGACTTGCGTCCTTCCGACCCGTCTATGTCTATTATGACCGCTGATGGTACACCATTAGCTTTAGCAGGTGTTGGTTCAGTTAATTCACTTAATTTGTCATTGTCAGATGTCTATTGTATTCCAACTCTTACTTTGAATCTTATCTCTATTAGTCAATTGTGTGATTCTAGATACTTAGTTCAATTTTCTTCTACTGGTTGTCATGTGCAGGATTTTCAATCTCAGAAACCGATTGGGATAGGCCGTAGACAATGAGGGTTATATGTTCTAGACAATCTAAGACTATCACACGTTGCAGCCTCTAGTGTTGATTTGTCATCTTTTTCTTTGAATTCATTGTCTTCTAGTTTTTATTTGTGGCATTCTCGCATTGGACATATTTCTGCTAGTCGTTTAAAATTTTTAGTTTCTAAGGGTCAATTGAAAAATATACAAACTCGTGATATTTCTGATTGTAGTGGTTGCAAATTAGCAAAAAAAATTTCTTTACCTTTTCCTCGAAGTATTTCTCATTCAATTGCACCATTTGATATTGTTCACTCTGATGTGGAGACCTGCTCTTGTTGCTACAAAAGAAGGGTCTCGATATTATGTATCCTTTATTGATAATTATTGTCGTTATTGTTGGGTTTATATTATGAAGTGACGATCTGACTTTCTTTCTATTTATCGATCATTTAGAGCACGTATTAAAACTCAACATTCAACTGTAATTAAGT